ATATATATATATATTTATTTTTTTTAATTTTTTTTTTGCATAAGAAGAACTTTACCCTGGATGCTGTAAGAGCTGCCAGGAATGGCACCGAGACCAGAGCAGCCCATGCCTGCTCTCAGCCTCTCTGCAAAGTGCCGAGCATTGAAACTGCTCCTGCTATCTAAGTCCAGGGTGAATCACAGAAGCATAGTGGTTGGAAAAGACCTTTAAGATCACCAAGTCCAACCATAAACCTACCACTGCCAATTCCACCTCTAAACCATGTCCCTTAGCACCTTGTCTACCCGTTCTTTAAATACCACCAGGGACGGTGACTCCACCACCTCCCTGGGCAGCCTGTTCCAATGTTTGACTACCCCTTTAGTGAAGAAGTTTTTCCTCATATCCAACCTAAACCTCCCCTGATGCAATTTAAGACCATTTCTCCTCATCCTATCACTTGTTACCTGGGAGAAGAGACCAACCCCCACCTCCACACCCTCTTTTCAAGTAGTTGTAGACAGTGAGAAGGTCTCCCCTCAGCCTCCTTTTCTCGAGGCTAAACAACACCAGTTCCCTCAGCCGCTCCTCATAAGACTTGTTCTCCAGGCCCTTCACCAACTTCATGAATTTAAATTAAAATGATGGATCATGTAGAATGGGCCACTCGTGAACGGTGGTGTGACTGTGCTGTGCTCAGTATCTGAAAGTGCACTCTTGCTTTCTTCCCCAGAGCAGAGGTGGAGAGCAGAAACTATCACAGGACAGCTGCAATGAAAGGAATCCTCTTAGACCAGAGAGATGAAGACTGGGAACTCAAGAAAGAAGAACTCAAAAGAAATCCACCATGTTCTTGGGCGAACTACACATCCTCTACTCAAAAGAAAAATAAAGAAAAAAGGAGGAAGCAGTAGTGTGCCCTGCCTATTTGATGCCACTGAGAACTTGTACTGCAAAGCAAAGACACTGGCAGACCTCAGGTGTATCTGCAGGGTGAAATATGGATGAACAGGAGCAGCAGATGGACACAAGGATGCTTTTTGTAATGTACTGTAAATACTGTCATTAATAGGGGGCAGGTAGGAGCGCTTCTGTCTGTTTGCATGTCTATATGTATCAGATCTTAAATCTGCAGAAGTTGTTTAAATATAATATAATCTAAATCACTGAAATGTATAAATTTACAGAAATGACAGGAGTTACCCATATTGTTTGAGAGGGAAATGGTTTTACTCCTAATTCATAGAATCGTAGAATCGTAGTGGTTGGAAAAGTTTTTCCTCAGATCCAATCTAAACTTCGCTTGGTGCAGCTTGAGGCCATTTCTTCTCATTCTATCACTGGTTACCTGGGAGAAGAGATCGACCCCCACCTCTCTACACCCTCCTTTCAGGTAGTTATAGAGAGTGATATGGTCACCCCTCATTCTCCTTTTCTCCAGACTAAACAACCCGAGTTCCCTCGGCCACTCCACATATTCTCCAGACCCTTCACCAGCTTTGTTGCCCTCCTTTGGACCTGCTCTAAAATTGATTAATGAAAGCATCTCAGACCATGGCTGTGCTCACCCTGGTGATTTCTGTGGCTCTTGCTTTTTGCTTCTCGTCCTGAGTCAAGCAGGAGGCTCTACAGAGGCTTGTAACCTCTGGTAGTGCCTCTCTCTTTGAAAGCGGAGTGTAGTTGCTTCTTCTGGCTAAAGGGGAGACATTGATGTTGACCTTCTACTGGACACATGGGTCTAATAACCTGTATCTTCCATTCCTGGCCCACCAGAAGTGAAAACGTGCTCCCTGGTTGCTACTTCCAGACATCTGTGACTACCAAGAGAGTTAGAGCACTGCCTTATTTTTAGCAGTGCCCCCAGCCCTTTTTATGTGTATGGTGACAGGAATGCTGTGGAACCCATCCTGAGCTACCCCTCAGCTCATCAGCACTTCCCATGGCAAAAACTTTTTTAACTCTTTCCTTTCTCAATCATAAAAGATTTGAATTTGACCCTAAGCAGTTTTCCATACCATGCCAGCACTGGACAAGCATTCATAGTGACTTTTGACTTCTTTTATGTGTCTGCTTCCCCTCATCTTATGTGTCTGCCTCCCTTCCCCTCTGCTTCCCACCACTACCCAAACCTGGTCCTTCTGGAGTGACTTGCTTACAGGTGTCCTTCAAACCTGGCCACAAGATTCAGGCATTGCAGTCATAACCAACAACTCTCTGATCCATCTCCCTCATCTAGATTTCCAGGGAGGACTTACTTAGCTGTCTACACAGAGGTATCTAATGCCACTTGAGATGCTCTCAGGTACCCAGCTGACCCTTCAGGTCTCCAGAAGATTGTTTGCTGTAGCTCCCAATCCTGTGCAGATGTCTCAGATGCTCTAGGACTTCTCATATGACTCAAGATGCCTATGTTTGGGCAAATGAGTCAAGGTACAGCTTTGTCTTTTGCCATTTGCACTTTCCAAGCCATATGAAACATCTTCCTCCACTGCTGGCCTGGTTGTTAAACTAGTGACAGTGCAAGTAGAGATGTATGTGGGACAGACTGCCTGTTGCCATGCTGGTAAACTGAACAGGCCTTTTTCTAGCCCTAAGGCCAGCTGGTGGAGTGTCCTGTGGTTGAGGAACATTTTCTCCAGGGCTGGTCACACCACTGCATCTCTCCAGAAAGCAACTTTAGCATATGGGCTGTGCACTGTGGCCGTGCTGTTTTATAACCTGTTTCCTCCAGTGTCAGCTGGATGGGGCTGCTGCACAGGGAGGATGATGCTGTGTTGGATATCATGTTCATGGGGGTTTCATGGAGTTGGAAGAAGATATCTTCAGCGTGGTTTACTGGGACTGCATTCTTTTGTGTGAGAACATTTGAAAGATGTTGGTTTAGCCTCACGAGTCTGGTGGTATGTGAGCTTTTGAAGGATAATGTTGCATGGGGTGTAAGGAGTAAGAAGGATTTTCCGTGGTCTTTTCATGAAAGTGATTTGGACTGTCATGCTAAAGGATCAACTGCATTGAGCAACAGCAGGGAAAGAAGGGAGGTGTGATGGTGCCTCTCCTTTAAAGGTCTTTCAGCTGGGGAGATTTGTCCAGATGAAATGTTTAAGATCTGCTTCTGTTGGGACATGGGATGGTGTGGAGTGTCTCCTACTGTGGAAGTGGGACTTGGTGGAGTTTGACATCTGATCTAAAAAGTGCAATTGCAGCTAAAGGCAAACAGCTAAAGGCAATGGGCACGGACACCGTTTACATCTGCCTATGGGTCACTGTGAGATGAAAGCGTGACTTTATTCTACACCTCACTTTTTGCACAAAAACTACTTTTCTTGATGTTTTACCAAACCAGAATCCACTGGTAAGAGCAGACCTTGTAAAAAAGTAAAAGCAGACCAGGAAAGCAGTTACGCAGAGCAGGGGAAATAATGTTTTTGCATGAGGTGGGACAGAGAGAGGAGGCACAAGGCTGGCATGGGAAGTGGACTCTCCACCCCTCCTGTCTACCCTGAGGCCATTTCTACATTGCTGTTTGTAAGTCAGTAACCACCTCTGGTGATTAATAGTGATCAACATATTCACACATAAGTCATAAACAAGATAGTGATGCAATTCATAACATTACAAGATGCACAGCCACAACAGAAATAAATGTAAAACAAAATAGATATAAATAATAATAGATATATCTATATAGTTATAGATATAACTTGTTTAGTTAAGTAGTTTCCATCACCAAATACCAAAGCATTTTTAGAAGATTTGCAGTATTGTTATTCCTCTTATGCAGCTAGCCCATGCACCAGGTCCAAATTACTTTGTAACTGATGATAATTTAACTCAAAGAATTATCTAAATCAAAATAAAATAATTATTTATTTAACTCATAATAATTTAGTTCAAAGTATTTTAATGAAGTTTTCTTAACTTAGAGGGTGAAATAGAACATCTCTATTACCTACGCTGTCGGGTGAGTTGCATTAGAGATTAAATCACTTGTTTTTTATAATAAAACATCAACATTTTCAATGGGCTCCAACGTTTATTACATTTCCTACCTCATGCAAACTTTGCCCTTCACATAGTGCAGGGTCTTTAGCAGTGTCTTTTCCAGTTTGGGGTTGCTGAAAATCAGAATAAGGGAATGAAGAGCTGGAAAAGCATACTGAAATACTAAAATAAGAAACAGCAGAAGGCTTTCATTCTTCGTGGCATAAATCAGTGTCAAGACCAAACATGTAAAGTTGATGGTGTAAATTATGAGGAATGCCAGAACAGATTTAATGACTTTGATGTTAACGTCCATGCTGAGGGTCTTCTCTGAGTTTGTTTGCATCTTGCATTTGTGTCTCCAGAGAGAAAAGAGGAGGGGAAGGGCAGAAAGGATTACTGTCAGGAATGCAGTGGCAAATTCAAACCCGCTGATAAAAACCAGAGGGAAATAACGTTGATCTGTTCTGAGATCCAGTTTCCAGAAATTTCCAAATTTGGTGGAATTGTTATAGTGTGTTTCATCAGTGAAGTTGTAGGCAAGGATGCTGATGACCAGGGATAAAAGCACTGAACCCAACAACAGCCATGGCACGATCCTGTCAATTTTTGCTTTCAGGTAGATGAAGAAGATGTACCTGAAATTTACAATTTTTATACAATAGAAAATACAAAGACAGGCAGAAACCCACAAGTTGGAAGAGTTGAAAAAGTTTTGAAAAGCTGCAAAGAGCTGGGGTATGGGGCGAACATTAAAGCACTGGGGATAAATTATTGCAAGAAAGTAATATACCCATGTGATGCACAAAAACCAAAACCTGGAACATCCCAGAAACAGCAAGATCTTCTCATTAGAGTTAAAAGTTTTCTTTTTGACCAAACCAATACAAAGCACAGAAACAACGAAAGCGTTTATCCCCATGCCAGCAAATGCTTGAAGTGAGGTGATGACCATAAACGTTGCTTTGTATGAGGAGACATTAAATTCATCTTGAGAGTAACAAGCTTCCATCCTCCAAGATGAGTAGTGATGCTGTGCCAGAAAAGTCGGTTGTTGCCCCAGTGCTTAGCGCAGGTTGGCAGGTGCTGGTTCCTGAGTGTCACGTAAGGAAAGAGAAGCTTTATAGAGCTGGAGGTGGTGGGGATTTTGGTGCTGCTCCTATTCAGAGCAGGGCAGGTGCAGGAATGTAAATGTGCTGGGTATTCCCTTACCTGGTATCAGTGTCAGTCTTCAATATTTGAATTTCAGTTCAGAAGAGCTGTGTTGGATGAAGCAAACAATGTAGATGCTTCTCTGCAGGGCACAATGTTGTGATTTAGTGATTGTGCCATGTTTAATTGCTGTCAGGATTCATGATCTGGGTTCTCCTGTCCCTTCGTCACCTGCAATGCTCCTGTGGAGGGATGTGCTCAGCAAAGCACAGTCAGGAGAGTCACTGTCCTCTTTCACCCAAGAGTCCAGTAGCTGCAAAATTTAACCAAGATGCTGGAAACTGGAGTTCATTTTGATCCTCAATGGGCACTGAAATCCATGTTAATTTTCCTGATGTTAATGCCTTAATCATAAGTGAAGAGCCACATGATAGGCAGAGGGCATCGAAGGAAAAGCAGGACTTTCTTTTAAAGGTTTAAGTTGAAAAATATAGAGAAAAAGAAGCATAAGTCCCTGTGCCAGGGTTCAAAACTCATCTGCTAGCAATGTGAAGAGTTTTAGGGATGGGACCATACTGAGTTCCTGCCACATTCCTCAAGCTTCTAAATGACTTTAAGTCTCAAAACTGTGATTTTTTAACGGGTGAGATGTGTCAAGCTCTGTAGGGTGTATACTGCCTATAGACCTTGGGTTTGTACAGGACCTTGCACATTGGACCTTGTGCATTGGGACCACAGTTACCAACTAGACCTTGGCTGATGCTGTGGTGTAATCAGGCAAAATTAAAATCACAGCAAATAACTATAGAGCTACAAGAAATAAACCACCAGCATTTTCTCTCTTCAGAATGAGGCACTTGTTTTCTGGGGCATACAAATGCAAACACTACTCTGAATATTAATATCACCTCCTATTTGCTTCCCCCCCTCCCCTCCCAAGGACCTTGCTACACCATTAACACATTGAAATGTATTTACAGAAGGCCTGAGGTTTATCTCAACAAGAAAACATGATACCTACCACATGTTCCTATAAAATCCATTTAGGTAGTCCAGTGGCTTTTAATAAAAGTTCTAGTGATGTCTTCACCACCTTTTATTTTTTATATTGCCTAGAAAACATCAATGTCAATAGCTAGGTTTGGATGCAGTCATTAAAAAATATTATGAATCATTTAAAACCAGTCATGCTTGACTGAGATGACATTAGAGATAGCCACTGCACTGATGGAAGGATTTTATTTGGAAGCTCAAAAGATAAGTGCTTAAGGAAAACAACCCCATTTCTCTGATGCTAAAATTGCAAGAATTAATGTGAAGCCAGATGATCTCTAGATCCTTTAGACCTGCAAAAAGTCAGGAATGAAGTCCTCAAACTGTGATGGTGACCTGAGTCTTGTGTGTTTGTGAAGAGCAACCTTATGTGCACTAGACATATTCCTTTGTTTCTCACTGATATCCTGCTCTGCCCTGCAGTGGGATATCAGTAGGAAGCAAAGTTTAGTGAATCGTTCACTTCTCTGTATCTCATTTGCCAACATCTTCACATCTAAAGATGGTGGACATTTTACAGACTGGGTGATAGGGAGACAAATCTGTTCCTTTTCTTCAGTCCAGGAGCGAAGGATGGCTTGTGCCAGCTAGTGGATTTTCTTCCCCTGCAAGTTGTGTTTCAGGAGACAGATCTGGCAATATCTCTCCTGTAACCCTCCATTCTGCTGCTCCTGTGACAGGCAGGCTGGGAAGTGTCAAGTGATGGGGATGCTTTCTGGTGAATTAAGTTTGTTTATCTCTGGTGGCCCTAGTTTTATGGGATGGACATTGGTGATCATGCCTCTGGGGGAAGGATGCTGATGAGGCACATGGATTAACTCCTTTGCACTTTTTGGCACCTCACGCCCCCTCTCTGATCCTACTGGACTCATGGAATTGTCCAGGTGGATGCCCCATGCAGGTAGAAGTACTGAGCATGCAACTTATTGAGATCTCATCACTCCTAGGCTCTCAAAGTGACCTTGTCCACTCACTCCAGTCTGGTGCAACTGCCCCTTCGTGTCCCGTAACAACCCTCCTACTTCTTACAGTGCCTGACAGCTGGGGTCTCACAGGTTGAGAGAAAAGATGGCTGCAAAGCGTGGACAGGGAGCTCCTGTCTGAATATCTTGTCTCCCCCAGATCGGGACAGTGCTTCCCCAGAAAGATGGGGTTGCACCATGATGCTGGGCAAGTGAGCAAAGGGAAGGCAAAGGTAGCAGCAGTGTTGTTAAGACAGGAAGAGGAGAAGGTGCAGGAAGTGTGTGGGAGTGAGAACTGCAGGAGCGTACAAAACCTCTTCGTGTGGTTGCCAGGAGGAGAAAATCTCTGAACAGGCAGAGGCAAAGCTCAGCTTTGCTCTTCTCTACTCACAAAGGATCCTTTCTCCTACCCTACTTCACCCTGACCCACGAGCCTTGTGTCCACAGGGAAAGCCCCATGTGGGATTCTCATGCAAAACACTGAGAACACATGGCTTCACAGGTACATGAGTGGGACCAAGCCAGGACCCCTTGCTGCACTCCTGCTCTGAGAGAGAAAGTCTTCAAGATCTCCTGAGGAAACCTAAACCAACACATTTTACAGGAAGTTGATGACTGGCATTCTATTGATTACAAAAATAATGTTATTTTAAAATTAAAGATGATGCTTTACCCATAGAATCAGATAAAACCAAAAATTTCTTTGCATCTATCAAGATGTTTCCAGGAATACAAAAAAAAACCCATCAAGCAAACCTTCTCTTAAAGTGATTTTTTCAGTTTGCAGACGATAAGCCTCTTCTTTTGAAGAGCATGTTATTTCCATACTCAGCAGCTTTATTGGTCACATTTCAGGATGGGGCCAGGATGGTTCATAAAGCAGAAAAAAAAAAAAAGTGAGATTCTCTTGGAAGAAGTCACAGAAATAATAAATAGCTCAATAGCTTCTGATGATTACAAGGCTTCATATGCTAAGGACAGTTGTAAAATGGAGAGGCAGATTTCTTATCAGAGTGGCTTATGGCTATATCTAACAAGATTAAAATCTGTTCTTTTAAAATTTAAAGTTTAACTATTTTGATGGCTTGTGCTTATCAGTACTTCTGAAGGCTATTCACCTGCAGGACTCTATATCTACACTGGAAGGTTGCACCAGATGATCTTCTGGAATGGATTCCTGGAGGATATGTTGTTTCACAGCACTGCTTACCTGCTCCTATGCCTTTATGGTATTCCCACCTGCTTCTCCATTTTCTCTCTTGGGGTCAGGGTGAAATTTCATTTCATTTGCCTATAATGTTGAAATGGTACTTTCTATATTTCAGATCCAAAACTCTGTTGAAGACAGAGGTAAGGATGCAACTTTTTATGTTAGTGGGAGACTAAGTGGGGAATTAAATCAACTCATGTAATTTAGTCACTAACACAGGTGTATTATTTCTTTTAATAGTTGATGATGTTGATGGAGGGCAACTTAGAAAGGACATTCCAGAAATAAACTCAGGTAAGTCAGCACAGTAAGTAAGCAGAGTGTTGAATTTTTACAGAAATCTGAGCTAGCTTTTGGGGACCACAAGTCTGGCAGCTATGATGGCACCAGAGGGGACTGAAAGCTCCCTTCTATGTGAGAAAAATCCCAACTGTATCATGGACACAGGGACCCTGTATTGCAGGGTAGTTAAAAATGTGTGGGATGAACACCAGCTACTTCTGGAGAGAAAGGAGAAGACCTCCACTTTGGAGTCTGGTAGCAGTCAGAGAAGATGAAAGGGCAGGAGCAGGGCAGGGGGCAGAGGACAGAAGGTCCATAAAAGGTTGGTGTTGGAAAGGGAAGATGGAAAGGCCAGGAAATTTCCAGAAGGACAAGAAGAAAGCCTGGAATCATGATTTGAAGAAGCCTGGATCATAATCTGAAATTTGGAACCACAGTCAACTGCTCCTGACAAAGGCTCAGCAACCCCTAGACTGAACCTGCATCCTTCTCCACTGCATCTTTCTGCAACACAACTCCTGGACAAACCTTGGCAGTGGCTCTAATTCAACTTCTGCTTCGTTGATGTGCATTTATCTTAAGTTGTTTGGTTTCACATGACAGATGACCAAGATATGAAGCTTAAGTATCTTCAAGCCTGCCCCAGAATTTCAGAGCATTGCCTTGAGAGAGTTTTCATTTCCTGGCATTGCCTGTTATGTGCTTTATGCTCTGGTGTAGGTTTCCTCTGGTTTTGCTGACAGAACAGAAAACATTGTGCTAGTTTTAGTGGGTTTTTTTTCCTTCTCTCCTTATGTATGTGAAGAGAATATATGTTATTTCTGTAACAAAAGGTCTGAAGATGAAATCTGTGTTGGGATTTTGCCTAAATTAAAATGTTACACTAGCAGGACTATACAGTGTCTGGGGCTTGGACTTAGCTCTGCATGGGGAATTCAGCACCTTAAAAAAATGAGTATAAGCTAAGAGTCCTAAATGCTATGTTTTTAAAGAAGGAAGATGAGGATCAGCTGCTTAAAACACAGGTGACTGTTGCCAGTTCAAATACATCTCCTCCAGCACCACTCTAGAAAGGAAAGTAGTCTCCCAAACTTTGCATCTGCCAGCACATGTGGATATTTCAGATACTCTTGTGCATCTCAAATGGCACCAGACACCGATGTTTAGGCAACTGGGTGGACACGTGGTTGTAATGGGATCTGAGACAAACAGCACATATTTGATTGCTTCAATTTGAGCTTGGTTCAGGCTCAGGTGTTTGAAAAGGTGGATTGAAACCCTTCCCTCTCCAGAATCCTGGTCTTTCTCCTTTGATCATATGAGGAATCCCAGGTCAATTAGCCTAGATTAGCTAACTAATTAGGCTACTGGATGCCTAATTTCTAGACAAATCCATTCCACCTATATATCAACTTCAATGTTCAGAAATCCAC